CAAGTTTATATTTAACTGGCGTCTGACGAGAGAGCATGAATTCCATCACGCTAATAAATGCAGTCGAACCCCATCGTCAACTCGAACCTCTCTAAGTCATTTTAAACTTCTTAACTTTATTTTTTTCTTGCTGGTCATCCCCCGAATTTCAACTTATTCATAATGAGGTTTGATATTAAATTAAACGGTGCAGTAGAGAATATTTTGCATTTATTTTCCCGTAGAAGCCTGGAAACTTTCCTGGATTTCTTCTTCAAACGAAATTTTTGATATCCAAAAATATGTGATTTAGCGTAGTTGTACTTTTTTTCACACAAACAAGTCCGAGAACCTGCAAATGAATCACGCATAACAGAATTTAAATCAATCTTTGCAAGCGTTTAATATTTTTTACAGAGATTTATACAGGGGCCTAAGTTTGGAGAACTTCTCTATTGCCTGAGTTTTATGTTCTTTTTTGACTTCAAATATGGTTTTACAGCAGATTTCCAGAAGAATTTCGCCTCTTCAAATTCCAAGTCGATCGGTGTTGTAAAAAAAATTATATCTTCAAATAATCGTCGCAGGTTTAATTATACAGTATTACTGACCCATCATAACGCTTTTCTGCGACAGCAACTGCGGCTGCGCAGACGAGCAGCAAAAAGAACTTCATGTCTCGCTCCGAATTCTCCCAAACGAACACTGAAGTTTGAAACAATGAATTCAACGACTAAAAGTAGCGACATTGTCGACGTTGATTAACCTTATCAGCTAATACCAATTTGAATATCGTAGTTTCTTCAATTTTCTTAGGAATCATTCATTTATCGCTGGCAAGAGGGGAAAAACTTTTCCAGCTGAGTCGCTTCGAAGGATGATTGGTGGGATTATCCACGAGGGAATTTGAGCACCTGGTATCCATTTTTTTTCGGATAACGAGGGCGTTTCTCGAGGAACAGACCAGTTTTGAGAAATTTTGACTCATGAAAGTAGAAAATCGGGTCCGTGAGATTTATACGTTTTTTTTGAAATCACGCTGACAATAAAATATCAGGACTGATAGACTGCTGTGTATATATTTACTGATCTATAGCGCTGGACCCCGATATGCAGACAATTCAACTTTTAGGGACATCTAAAAGACTAAAACGCAGAGAATTTGCCAAAAATCTCTGGACAATGTCTTGAGACAGCACGGACACTTAAGAAAGAAATAAAAAAATTTAGAACGAAAGAAAAACTTACTTTAAAAAGTTTAAA